GGTACAAAAGGGCCAGGACGTCAGGAAAGAGAGACACACAGGAGGACAACTCTAAGGTGATGTGAGAGGGTACACGGTGTTACTGAAACCCAGAGGACAGAGTGACTCCTTCTTGCCAGAAGATACCGGGGAAGGATTCTTAGAGGACTGACATTTCAGTGACATGAGTCATGAAAGTTTGGTAAGAACCTGTAGGTGGAGAAGAGGCTGGGGAGGAAAGAAGAAACGAGGTGCGTCAAGACAAGGATACACTGAGAGAGAGGAATGAACACTTGTGAAGCGCCTACTGTGTGCCATTTGATCCTGTCAGGTCTACGCCATTGTCTGCCGAGGAAACTCAGGCTCAGGAGAGTTGTGTGACTTGCCCAAGTTCTTGAATTACCACTTGGGGAGTCAGGATTCACACCCGAAATTCTGTCAGTAAGGTGAGGCTGAGGAAAGAGCTTGTCTTCTGGTGGGAGTGATCCCTCGGTGTGGCCGGGGTGTGGCATGCTGTGAAGGAAACAGACAGAAGCAAGGTGAAAGATGAAGAATGGAACCGATTAGTGAAGGGCATTTTCAGCCTGCAGAAGATTGGCTCTTAGTGTTTGAGAACACCAGTAAGGGTTTGTAAGCAGACACGGGAAGCTTGATTTATCTTTTGGAAAGATTCTGGCCACCATGTTTTGGATGGAGGGAGTTGGATAAGACTGGAATTGGGGTCGCAGATTGATCTTCACTACACTTAGATGTGCAAAGAAAATATTTTTCTAAATTTGACCCGACCTTCTCCTTAAGACCGCCTCTCCACTTAATAAGTGGAGAAAAAAGAAGCTACATTTCGTTGAGAGTAGGAAACTCAGTCTGCTCCAGTAATGTGCAAAATCTCTTTTGGTAATTCGTTTTTCTCTCTGCACCCCACTGAGACGGCGTCTCAGTAAATGGGAGTCTCACATGGCCTTGAGGGCGTGTGTGTGTGTGTGTGTGTGTGTGTGTGTGAGTCACAGGTCGGGGCAGCCCTTGCTGATGCCGACTGTGGTCTGGAGGTGTTCCAGCTCTGCCTGGGCCACCTGTTGGCAGCCGTTGCTGAAGTTCATGGCTGCTCTAACTTGCAGTCCGTTTTCTCCCAGGTCAGTCAGGGTCTGGTTGTCCGTATTGCCTACGTGGTCCCACCGTGGCTCTTGCTCGGCCTTTATACCCCTTACCTTATCCCACAGGAAGTTTTGATAATGCCCTTCCCTCCGTGGTCCTCCACAGTGTCCTTGGGAATGTCCACACTGCTTAGAAGCTAGTCAGGCTTTGGACAGCAAACCTCAAAACTTGGGCCTTTTTTTTTTTTTTTCCTTTCTTAAAGATTTTATTTATTTATTTGAGAGAAAGAATGAGAGAGAGAGAGCATGAGATGGGGGAGGGTCAGAGGGAGAAGCAGACTCCCTGCCGAGCAGGGAGCCCGATGCGGGACTCGATCCCGGGACTCCAGGATCATGACCTGAGCCGAAGGCAGTCGCTTAACCAACTGAGCCACCCAGGCGCCCCCCCCCCCTTTTTTTTTAAACACGCAACTGCTGTGACACCAGATTTGCTGATTTATGGGGTATGGTCACCACCTATATGCAGTCACCACCCCATTTTGTCTTGAGAGTGGGGGGCGGGGTATGAAGACGTTCTGTGAAGTCGCATCCTCTAGATCCCTAAAGGGAAAGTGATACAGAAACTCCTTGGCCTTTGGTTTTTGTTATCAACTCTTTTAAATCCTCGCCCTCTTCTGGGATTTTAGCCGAGTGGGGAGAAGCTGTACCATGTGTGTCTCGTCTCCCGATTTCTCTATTTACCTTGACCACTTCTTCTCTCCACACTTCTCCTTGTGTCCCCACCTCATCGGGACTTCTCTGGGTCATTCTGTCTTCCTTCGGGAAGTGCCTTTAACCTTCCACTTTGGGCTGTCATAGTGGCCAGGATACAAGGAAGGAGGGAGGTCAGCTTTAGATAAAGGAATTTCAAATGAATTTCAAAGCTGTCGTATTTGTCACCTGATGGTAGAGCTGCTACAGAAGTCTAAGTGAGGGATAATAAAAGCCAGAAGAGAGTCCTACGAGCGAGCCTTAGTGAAACCAAATGTGGGAGTGATGAGACGGAGAAGTTGAAGATGACTTTGTGGTTCCTAGTTGGGGCAACCATTGAATAAAGATTCACTTGACAGAGAAAACACAAGAGGAGAAGGAATAGTTGTGAGGGCAGAGGGGAGGAGGAGGAGGTTTGGGGGATGGGAAGAAGAGAGGGAGGGCAATGAATTCAGTTTTGGATCTGACTGAAATGCTGTCTAATAGGAGAAATATGGGGCTGGCACCTGGGAGAGAATCTGCCTGGAGAAATGGGTTTGGGAAACAGGTGAGAATATCTAAGAAGAAAAGGAAGAGAAACTCACTGTCATTGTAGATGCTAAATTTAAAAACATGAACAAGGTCATCACTGTTTCAATTCTTCCTTGCCTTTCACAGTGACCCAGTACTTTGGAACCTCTCCTCCAGGTTCCTGCACGAGACAGCTCTGAGGTCACAGGGTATTGTCAAGGGTATCTGCTGCTACTTCTGATCCCCAAGGGGACCTTTAAACTGCCAGGCCTGACACATAGATCCATGGTATACCAAGTTCATATCAGAATGAGGCCAGAATATTCTACACAAAGAAAACTTTGATGAGTGGTTAAAAATGAATAATTTGCAGGTACATGCAGAGGCACTGTTTAATTTTTTGTAGTTGAGCTGAATTTGTTAAGTGAACTCCTAGAAATGTAACATGTACTTCTCAAAACCATCATCATTATGCCTGACACATGGTCTAACCTTTGGATGTCCTCTGCTAATATAATTGCCTTGCTGTCTTTGAAAGGTGGCTTTTAATTGGGTTTCAGAGTAGCAGTTGCTGTCGAGATGCTGGTTGCAGTCTTTCAATAGATTGGGCCAGTTCGTTAAGCGTTTCCTCTCCCTGGTCTGGACAGCTGAGCTTGGACAGTAGCCAGCAGTTACTGAAATGCCATCACTTAAAGGACTGACCTTTAAGACACTGATTTGTTATATTACCGAGTTTCGATTTTTTCCTCTCAAATTTAAATGGAGCTTTATTGAATACAGTGCTAAACTCAATTCTTCTCACTCTCTGTGGCCTTTTCATCAGGTTATTTCCCCCCTGGCTCCTAGCATTTAGTCCTCTGGCTGGACAAGAGGTTTAAGAACTAAAGACAGCTTGCCATTTACGGGGCTTAGCACAGTCCGTGGGAAGTGTGGTGGATTACTGCGCAGGCATGACTCAGAGTCCTCACTGGACTGGTGATTTACGTACAGGTAACCCGAGAAGTCTCTTAGCCAGTTTTCTTCTTTTGGGTGATATTGTGCTGAAAATTCTTTTTTTTCTTAAGTTTTTATTTTAATTCCAGTTAGTTAACATACAGTGTTATATTCGTTTCAGGTGTACAATAGAGTGATTCAACACTTCCATACATCACCCTGTGCTCATCACAGCAAGTGCCCTCCTTCATCCCCATCCTCTATTTCCCCCATCCTCCCACCCACCTCCCCTCTGGTCACCATCAGCTTGTTCACTGTAATTAAGAGACTGTTTCTTGCTTTCTCTCTCTCTCTCTCTCTTTTCCCTTATGCTGGAAATTCTTATCTCTAGGATTATTGTCCTGAAGGTTTTTAATTCGTTTGAAGAAAATGAGTACATAACTGTCACATTGAATAAACAAAAGCTTGGGGATGGGGGTGGGTGGGAAGGTGGGATGACAGAAGGAGCTCTGTGTTTGGCTTTGGCTCTCCCTTAGAGCAGCTCTGTGGCCTGGTTCTTTTTATGCCCCAGGAAGACGTCCTGGGCAGGTCCAGTGTATTTTCTGATCATTTTCGTATAATAAAAAGCTCTCCAGTCACATTTTCTTTCCAGACAGTCTCAGTTTGGTAATTAATATGTCTGGCCTCAAATAGACTGGTTTAAAGTGAACGCTTCTCCCCTGGCACAGATTTCAGATTCAGTTTGTCACATTCTACCAAAAATAAAAACTCCCGATATTTTTATTGGAAGACATTGAAATTATAGATTAATTTACTTCTTAGAGGTGATAAACACATTTTCTTAGACTTAGTCTTCAGTTACTCGTATTTGTTATTGCAAATGCTGTGTTTTCAAAATTAAGCTTTGTGTTTGTCGGTATTATACCAAAGGGCAATAAATTTTTGTGTATTGATTTTATACTTGACTATTTTGTTCAGTGTTCTTATTCTAATAGTTTTTCAATGAGCTTTTAATATAGACAATTACATCAGCTGTGAAAATGATTTTTTTCCCTTGCTTTCCATTTCTTGTGCCTTTTTTCCTTTATTTTTCTATATTGCCCTCCAGGCAGAATTAGTAAATAGAAGTGTCAATAACTACCATCTTTTTCTTATTTTTGATTTTAGAAGGGTTGCTTGTTTTTTTTTTTTTATATAAAATTATTTATTTGAGAGAGAGAGAGAACACACACACACAAGCAGGGGGGAGGGGCAGAGGAAGAAGCGGACTTTGAGCAGGGAGCCCGATGTGGGACTTGATCTCAGGACCCTGGGATCATGACCTGAGCCAAAGGCAGACACTTAATGACTGAGCCACCCAGGCGCCCCAGAAGGGTTGCTTGTAATAATACACCAATGGGTAAAATATAGTAAATTTTTTTAGATATCCTTTATTAGGTTTAGAAATTTCAGTAAGGAATTTTAATCATGTGTGTAGAGTCTTAATCGAATATCTTTTCTGTATCTACTGAGGTGTTGTGGGCTGACTCTTACAGAAGGGTGTTAAGATGAAACCTATTGTATCTTCTAGGTGCAAAGTCATTGCCAAGTGGAATGGGAGTGATACTACATTTTGAAATATGATTTATATAGTGCTGATTCATTTTTTAAACATATACCCTTTGTAGGGAAATACTATACTATGCGGTCATGCTTGAAAAATAAAACTAAACTTTGTTTGTTTGTTTTTCTCTCTAGTATTACTTTACTGTTCTTTTTGGCCATGAAGGTCAGAAACCTCTGGAGCTGCGCTGTGAAGAGGAGCAGGATGGTAAAGAGTGGATGGAGGCCATTCACCAAGCCAGGTATGGGCTCAAATCCTCTGTGTGACACTGGATTGGCTAGGTCTCTCGCATTGGGGTTTTCACTGTTGGCTGTAGTTTTGGGAGAACTTGCAATTCCAAGATGGGTTTCCCCTTGGTACCCCGTCTTTAGTGATGTGTGAGATGATTCTTTGAGCTTTCTATGGCTATGTTCTAGCTAAAGATGAAAAGTAATATGTATAACAACAACAATAATAATAACAATAGGTCACTTTTGTCGATTGTTCCTATGTGCCAGGTACTCTTCTAAGCGCTTCTCAATTAAGGCATTTATTAAATGTATTGATTTGCTTATCCTCTCGACAGTCTGAGTGAGAGTGGGTATTATAATTACCCCCTTTTATAGAGAAGGAAAATGAAGCCGGGAAGGTTGGTTTGCTAGTCTGAGGTCGCACAGCTGGTAAGTGGCAGAGCTGGGTTACGGACCCAGCCGAGCCCACATTTGTAAACCCTGCCCTGGGCAGCCTGGTTATCAAGAAGGGTGATGCTGACTCTATCTAGGGAGATAAAAGAGTATGATTTTATTTCCTCCTAAGATATACCAGAAGGTAGAAAGAAGGCACTTGGCCTCAAACAAAAACAAGAAATCTGAAAGAGAGTCAGGCAGATCCCTCTTTTTTATTTTTCATATTCATTTCTGAAGTCCAGCCCATTTTTGCTTCAAATAGCTCCCATACTCACTGCTTTCCTGGCTGTCCCCTCCCTCGTCCAGTCTCTGGTCACTCTTTAAGTCCCTGCTCATCTCCCCGCTGCTTCAATGGCAAAACTCCAGCTGGGGCGCATCTTCTTTTTCTTCACCTGACACGCCCCCTGCTTCACCTAAGTGCCCGTTCATGCCTGTACTGCCCCTGTCCCTGAAACCATCCCCCACAAGTAACCCTCACAGGCCCCTTCTCCAAATCACTGAAGCAGTTGCATTACTACACGTAGAATATTTAACAGTTTAGGGCAACTTAGGGGTTTATTTTTGTTTTTATTTTTTTTACATATTTCACGTGTGATTTCTGTTTCTTGAGCTGGATTGCATGCACCTCAAGAGTGAGGAGGAGGATATTTCATTTCTGAACAAAGCACAGTGCTAATTATGTAGTAGGTGACCAAGAAATATTTTCAGATTGACTGTAAAGAGGTTGGGACATTTGTTCTGAGTTTAGACTCTTCTTGAACCCTTGAGATTTTTTTCTCTGAAAGTCTCATCCCTCTCCTCCCCTCCCCACCCCTCTTTTTTTCTTCAACTACTTTATATTGACCACCTACCTCCTCTGTGTCAGGCACCATGCTAAGTGCTTTACATGCTTTGTTTATTCCTCACAACTACCCACTTTACAGATGAGAAAACAAAGGCTCATGATTATTAAGCAGATTGGCCAACATCTAACATGAAGTCGTTAAGCTGCAGAGCTGGGCTTCACACCCAGATCAATCTGACTCCAGAGCCTTTAACCAGTGTTTTGGGTTGTACTGTCTTCATTCTTGTCTTTTTCTCTTCTTCCCGCCCCCCTTTTCTATTTCTTTTCTTTTCCTCTATTCAAAGATGCAAATAGATTAATGTAAGGTCAGGGTTGAGAGTAGATGTTATTTGCAAAATATTTCAGTTCCTTTTCTTTCCTCCTCTTCAAAATATTTCTTTGAGATGCACAGGGTTGGCGACCAAATGCTGCTCTCCAAGTGGGCCCTGGGGGCAGCTTGTCCACACCATGATCCTGGCACACCATTCAGCTGTCTTTTCTCTCATTGTTTCTGTCTGAGGCTTTTGCTCCAGACTTTACTGTAATGTACAATGACTTGCTATAGAAAGAAGGTCAGGTCTTGAGAGGTGAAAGAAGTATCAAGTTGGCAAGGTAGAACTCTTGGGTTCTTTCTAGACAATCTCTGTGTAATTCCTTCCTACCTGGGAATTAAAATGAAGTAAATAACCTAAAACATGTGTATTCCTCCCCTCCCCCCCACCTTTTTTCATTCCAGAAAAGTGAGATACTATTAGTAACCTAAATACCTTACCTTTGTAGTTGCCAAGCGAATACTGGGGTGGACCAAATACAGAGTATGAATTACTTCAAAAACGGTTAGATTTTAAGTAAGGTTTTTTTTTTTTTTCCTTTCTGTATCATGAGAACTTTGTCATATATGTGGGTGTGGGTCAGTATTTGGTGTTGATTGACATATGATGGATTAGGGCACTTGTGGTCTTGTCAGGAGACAGACTTTAGAAACCACTTTAGTGGTTTAGGTGAACAAATGATAAAATTCTCTTGTGGATTTGAAGATTTAGCTAATAATTGATTTTTTTAATGTCCTGACTTTCTGGTCCATTAGATTTGCTTTTCCTTTGATTTAAGGCCCAGGACTGGGTTCTTTGATGAGTTCTTTTTAATCGGACTGCTTTATACTTGAGTTCTTATATTTGACTTTTTGCATTGAGATGCTTCTTAAATCTTTTTGTTTTACAAATCAGGGAAGATAACAACTTTTTCATTTAAGTTTAAGTTGAGTGTTTGGTGTAAACTTGGATCTGTGAAACTCATTCTAACTGTTCATACATGTGCAGAGCCAGAAAGTTAAAGAAGCTGATTCAGAGAAAGCGTTTGTCAGCCAGTTTTGCTTGGCATTTGGCTAATTACCACAACTGATTGGTTGACTAAATATTTCACCTTTAGAGGATAGTTGGTGGTGTTAATCTGGTGCCACTGCTTTTTTAATAGAAAATGCTCAATAATTATAGTTTTATTAATCCCTCTTTTTAAAAGTCTGAGCTGTTGGTTAACTGATGACTATTTTAGCCTGAGACCAGTTCTTTCCTGAGTGTCCTGCCGACACTGCATAGAAACAGGGACTGCTCAGAGCCCTTCTCCTGGTCTCTGCTCTTTTCCTGGAATGTCTTCTCAGTACTGGCTTGGGCTTGCTGTCCTTGTGCGCCACGAAAATCACATTCTTGCTGCTGGCTTTTGTACCTCAGAGCTGAATCTACTTGCTCCAGTTTGCCTTCAGAGGATCTCTTGGTCATTTTCCGGGATGTTGAGTTACATGTTTTCTTCCTTAGATGGGGCCCAAGGAAAAATCTTTTTGGAAATTATATTCTCATTTTGAAGCTCTGACGGGGTCCAGAAAGCTTGTTTTACAGTTTTTTTGAAGTTGGCCAATATTACATTTCTAGAACACTGGCACATTTATAATATCATTCCATCACTTATTATTGGCACCAGCTCATGGGAAGCTGCTAGCAGTCTCAGTCTTATTTTTGTCTGGATAAGGAAAGGCCAGAGCATTTGAACGGCATTGAAGTTCTATGCTTATTCCATAGTGGTTTGGTAGTTGAGTATGGAACTCTGGACATTCCTAATAACCTGATTTTTCTTGTTGTCCTCTTGGTCTTATCTGTCTAGTGTGGTTGATTTAGTCATTGACATTAGGACAGTCAAAAACACTGACTCAGTTAATTGTAGGTCCTCAGGGCTCATTGGCTGAAAAGACAACATCCACAGCATTTTTTGTCCACTTTTCATTTGGTGGAACACTGACCAAGCAAAGCCTCAGCAGTTAGAAGGTGGTTATGGCCTGGAAAAGGGTCTAGTGTGCGGAGGTACCAAAGCTCTTCCCATCCTGGTCTAAGTGTAAGACCCAAAGGACCTGGTCTCTGACAGTTAATAGAAGAGAACTGGAAAGTATTCCAGAGATGGGGTGGAGGGTAGACTCCTTCTAGGACTTTGTGACCACCTGGATGCAGGTGGTATTAGATCAGGGGTTATCTAACACATCTCACAGAGTGTCACTTCCTGGGAGAAGAAATGATGGATGGAAGTGGGATTGTGGGGCAGAGATGATGAGCGCTGGTCAGGAAGGGCCTCTGTGGGGAATTGGGTTTGCTTGCCTGGAAGGGGCCGTGAGGAGCCCCTCTGAGGGCTCTCCTTGCCCTTGCTGTGTAAGATATGAGAAAATGAGTATCAGAAGCTACTAGAGAAGTAAGGTGTGTCCTGAGGGAAAGCTGGCTTTGGGTTTCTACCAAAGCTGAGGTTAGGGGAGGACTTGTGAAAAGTTGAAGACGTAGAGAATATTGTACCTGGCACGGCGCACCATGGAACGTGGAACTTATGCTTTCAGTGTTTGAGACTGTCCTACTGTGTCTTTTGCCTGCTTTCTAATGTTTCCATCTGTAACTCTGTTCAGACCTCATCCTTTTTACTTAGATAGAGGCTTAATTTGGAGTGAAGTGTATAGTATACAATCTGTCCAACCATAAAGGCCACACTGTGTATCATGTCATCCCCATAAAACCAGCTCTTTATAGACTGTCCATGGAGAAATCCCCTACAAATCAGAAAAAAAGTGATTACATAGAAAAGCTGAAAGTGCTTCATGTATCACAGGGAAATGACAGGACTAGAAAATCAAAAATCAGAAATGGGCCGTTATAGCCTAAAGCAAATCCTGAAGCCGTATTTTGTATTCTTCTTATAGTAAGACTATCACTACTTTAAAGCCGAATATGTGGATTTTGTTCATTTGAGATATATATATATATATATATATTTTTTTTTTTTTTTACTAAAGTTCTGTTGGGCCTTTGCCTCCAGATTTGACATGATGAAAGAGGCTTAAGCACGTTCTTCCTCAGAGCCTGCAAAGCGCAACACGAGAGAAAAGGGATACTATGTCTGGGAACAATGAAAGATTTCACTTGATGAGATCGTAGAACTTGTTTTCTATAGGGAAGAGTTGGGCTTGAATCGCTTTCTTTGCAGCCCGTTGTTAATACTTTCACCTGTCGGTTCTCTTTCCGGCCCCTCCGGGGCTTTTGCTTCTGCTCACACTGCGGCGGGAGCTCCGTCTGTCTGCGGTCCCTCCGGACCGCCTGCGGGGGGCGCCACCGCCACGGGTTCTCCCCGTCCCGAGACCTGACGGGGCTTCAAGGCCCATTTCTGCCCTGAGCCTCTTCCCTCGCATTCCCTTGCTCCATCATTTATCCCCTTGCTCTATTATACTTC